GATACTGTGACTAATGTCACAAGATTAAAGACCTTTAGGTCTGCTTTGGTTTACAATGGAGTCTGAAGTGATCAGCATCAACCTTAGAATTACAAAGATGAGGGGCTGGTATTATGTATGAGCCTTTCTCTTGTCTCAGACTGTGGGTTATTACAAAATACTTTAAGGTGTAATCCATAGATGTTCTGACTCTGTCCTTTGTCATTTTTTCCTCACATGGAACAGACAGTCAAAAATCTGATTTTTTTTTTTTGCCATGGCTTCATCGTGTGTAAAGCGGTTGCCTGCTTAGGTGTAATTCTTGGCACCTGTATTTAGGTGTAATTCTCAGTATCTGTATTTAAACCTCTAATACCAATTCTAAAAGGCAAGGTAAGATTTTAAACCAATATGGTAGAGAATCTCACTGAAAATCAAATCCATATGATGGAAGTGCCGTCTAGTTCAGGCACCAGTTATTAAGTTGCTGGGACTGCAGCACTGCACCAAACCCCCCAGTTCCCTTTGAGATCTTGCACTGGTCTAAATAGCAGGTTGGGTGCAGCTTCTACACCACTGGTTCTCCAACAGTCAACACCAGAGCTCATACAAAGCAGAAAGAAGTGTAGTAGGACTTTCTGTGTTTTACAGTTATATCAGAAGTGAAGGATGCATTTTCTACCACCCTGTTGACTCACGCACAGTGATTTCAACATGGGACAGAAGCCTATGCATCACAGATCCTGCCTTAGCACTGATAATAAGTTTTCTTTGTCTCTGCCTTTCACTCCTCACTGCTCCTTCTAGACCATGAAGTTAACAATGCAGACATCTAAGGGGATGATGGGGATTGATCAGTTAGTGTGCCAAGGGGGCAGTAAGAAAAATTTATATAGTGTCAGTTGCTTTTATGATGATGATGACAAAAGAACTGGAGCCATGGCAGCCTCACATATCAATGCTGCAGAAATTACACCAAATCTATGCATTAAAAACAAAGTCCAAAACTCTGCTGCAGAACTCCAGAAGGACTGAAAACAGGATGTGAAATGTGGGAAACCAATAGATCTATTTTCACGCAAACTACAGCAGTGTGAATAGACACTTGGTCACATTTTACAGACTAAGCATATTTCAATAAACCAGGATGAAAAAAATGAGATTTTATGTTGGAGAAAGTTGAGGTCATGGCCACAGATCCAGTCACGCATTTTTTTGGCTTCTTTCCTGCAGCTCTTGGGGGTCTGTGGGCTGCTTCTCAGTGGTCATTGACAAGGGCAAGTTTGTTGATCTTTGCACCAAATTGAGTATAAATTTCTACCAAGTAGTCTACAGATCAGAACAGAGGTTGCAACTCCTAAGCTAGACTACTTGAGAGTGTCCCGTGAGACCACATCTCAAATGTGTAGTTCTAGTATGTCTGTGTAGAGCCCCAAACATGCAAAATCCCTGTGTAGCAATCCCATTAGGCTCACAGGGCCACATAGCCACACATCAGGTATCTTCAGGAATTCTTCTGGGGCCATGTGGTAAAAGCTGATCAAGGTGTGCTTCACAGACTGCTTTGTCGAAATCAAGCATTACACATTTGCTCCGAGTACATAGCAGGCAGAACAAAAAGTAAAAATAAGACAAGTTTGTATTCATATTTCCTCTTACTTAGACAAAATTATTTTCTTGGAAACTTTAAAGTCCATTAAATTCTATAAACACCATCTCTGGTGAGAGAGAAGTTTGCCCTGCTGCCAACTGCATCAGCCTTTTTCAGTCAGGTTCTTTTTCTCTCCCGGCTAGCACAGCGGTACTGCTGGATCCCAACTTCACCTACCTCTGAAAGAGAGCTTGGATCCCGCTAGTTGCATGGCAATGACAGATGCATTTCGCTGCAGGTCCAACACACAGGTACGTGTCCAGTGATAACCCCTACATGGTGCTTGCAGACTGCACAGAGCCCTGGGTTTCTGTGGCTGTATCATTCCCAACACCTGAGATATTTTAAAGGTAGTTCCTGATGACACACGTTGCACCCAAACCTGCAGTGGAGAAGAAGAATTGGGGCTGTTCTCACACACATGCACCCCCGACACCTCTGAGAACAGACTCCCATCTCAGCTCCATGCTGTTAGGCCAGCGCTTTCATTTAAGGATCATGACTGAGTTGTAAAAGTATGGAAATCCTCATTGGAGTAAAACAACTTTACTCCCCTGTGTCTAACAAAAGAGTTTTATCTGTGTCCTTATTTGGCTTTATCTCTCCCCAGTAGCCCTTTGACTTAAACTCCTTGTAGTTAGATTGAACAAACTAACATAAATGTGTTATTTATTAAAAAGTTACACACATTCCTTCTTTATCCACAATATGTAAGGGTATAGTTGCTTCAATTATATAAAGAAATATTCATTTGAGAAAGAATTTTTAAAGATCGCATAGGATTTTCTACAGAAACTCATATAATAAACAAAAGCCTGTACCAGAGTGATGCAGAGCTGCCTGAGCACAGCTGCATTAGCACACAGACCCTCCCTTTACAGTCTTATTAGTATTTCAGGTCATTCCACAGTGAATACATATTCTTGTAAGGCATAGCTATGTGCCAGAGGCTACTTTGTGGACTGGAATAGTACTCTTTCCATTCAAAGTCTGCTCTGTTTCTCTAGGCAAAGGAAAAGTGAGCTATCACGAAACTGAATCACCAGCATGTCATCCAAAAACTTCTGTTAGACTTTGAGAGTGCGAAGGAAAAAGTCTCTGCCACGCTGGGGGGAACTGAATTTCCTATCTCTGCTATAGTCAATTTAGCAATATCAACAGATAGGCTGACTTAAAGTGACTGCTTAGCAGTATTAAATTCCCCTTAATAGACTGACTTATCCCAGTGGTTTACAAAAATATCTCCTTGGACTGCTTCCAAACATACCAGAGATGCTGGCCGGCTAAGTCTCCAAAATAGTCCTCAGTTAGCAACTTCCAAACTCCACACAAGAATCAAATTCCCTCACTTGAACACTGTGCTACATTCCCTTGACCAGAGTTATCACCTCCCTATTTAGGTGAAATTATGAGTAAAAGTATTTTTCTTTTAAAAGAAAATAAAATTTGTAGAGTTTTCAAACAAACAGACCTTGACACAGGAGAGAAATCCCAGAGCAGAGGGAGAAACGGTTACTGCTGCTTCATAAATATTGACAACACATTGCTTTAGGCAGCACTGGTGCAGCAACAGGAATGTCTGTTGTATGCCACATTGTTGTTACCTTTTGGAAATTACCTGAAAGTTCAAGTTTGCCTTCATCTAGGTGCCCTGGTACTGATAGGTAGGTAGCTGAAGCCTCATGGCTTCTGGAGAACACAGTTGTGTTCCTGTCCCCTTCTGCCCACTCCATCTTGAAGGTTACCACCCCTGCATCAAGCTGTGCTTGAGTTTCAGTAGTGACAGATCACATCCCAGCTTCTTTCTGTGGACTCATCAGGGAGCTGTGTTTGGGGCTCTGGTTGCCCTCCTGTGAACTGTGATAGTCACCATGCAGAGGGACCCCTCCTTCACTGCCTCTGCTACAAATAGCTGCAACCTTTCCCCGATGGACAGGACAAGCAGCAAAGGGAAATAAATAGCTCTGAGTGCCACAGATAGAGTCAGAGCCTCAGCTCGGATGAGTCAGCACAGCCCCAGCTGTACCAGCTACGGGGCTAGCTTTGTTTCTCCATTTACAAGCTGCAAGCCAAAGCACAAAGGAAAACTTCCCAACTGCTTGTCATTGTTACAGCACAAGTAAAATAGCTAAATCTAAAGCTTTGTCTGAAAATAGGCAGCATACACCTTCCCTTCCCCACTCCATGAGGTGTTTAAGAAGCCCAGCAGCACTAGGACCTTTTCCAAGACTCTTCTGTGTTCAGGAGCGTGGCCTTTTCCCTCCTGGCAGTACATCAAATGTTGTTACCACTATACTATTTCAATGCTGCTAAACAATGCCTGCAAACATCCACTTGGACTCTAAGTAGTTCTACTAAATTTTATGCAATCTTTTAAACCTTTCTTTCCCTGATCAATCATCCAGGTACAGTTTTTTGTTTAAATTGACTACTAGGAATGGATTTTCATTGTACAAATATATTCAAAGACATTTATAGGTAAAGAGGGTGGTGGTTATTTATTGATTCTTAGTACCAATGTTTCAGTTATCCAATTAGGAAACAAAAACAAGGCAGTGTGACCTACACAGCAAGTAAACACATCAAGTGAACGCTGGAAATGCAGGGTTTGAAATACGTGCAAGACTAAAATCTGTTTGCCTAAGCTGTTCTAAGAACAATGAAAAAACCTATCTTAATAGAAATCAGTTTTGGCACAAAAAGACAAAGATAGGCCAAAATCATTACATCCCTTATTCATAACAAATATTACAGTCAGTGATTTTTTAGTATTAAGTAGCTTGATCGCTGCTTAATGCTAAGAGCATCTTATTGAATACCTGGGAAAACATGGAAGAATCTTTTTCTCCTGAAGTTTTCTAGCTCTTTCAATCTTATCTTACAGAATGGGAAACTTCCTCACTTGTCTTCAGAGCATGTGAGATAGTAGAAGAGAGTAGGAAGAGTCTTGTGGAGCTTGAAAAGTTAATTTACTACATACAGATCACAAAAATACATTCTTACCTCATTTGTAAAATACATTCCTCCACTGACTCTTGTTAAGAATAAAAAGGCTACGCAAGGGAAGACGTGCTCTAGCGTCTCTTAGCTGGTTATAAGAGATCGCATACACTACATATTGTTCCAATGCATTCTGAAGTTCTGCTAATGCAACCTTCATCTTTTTCCCAGTGAGGAAATTCACTAATCTACTTTCAAAAATTTAACTTGCTTTGGTCTTTAATTAAAATCAAGATGATTTTGTGCATGTTTGTATGTTGCAACTACTACAACATTTGAAAAAATGTAAACCAGAAACAAAATAAAGAGACATTCCAGGGTTTTTCTTTCTTTACCAGAGTGCTAAATAAGCCTCCATAATTCTCAGTCTCTAAGCAAGAGCATAGTCAAACTGGCCTTTCTCCAGTCCATCAAGTCCATCAGTCCAGGTTGAGGTTGGCATACTCTGGTAGGGGTCAAGGAGAATTCGGAAGCAGCGAACAATGAGGATTCCCAAGAAAATAAATAATAAAATCACAAAGGCAAATGTTGTTTTCTGTTCCAGAGTCATGCTAGAATTTGGTGTCATGTTCCCAGATGGCACCAAAGTGGCAGTGAATATCTCTCCATCCATCATCCAGGGAAGCTGAAACGAGTAATCCCACAGTTGACTTCTTTTCATCATCAGTTTGCTGAGGTCAGAGTAGCAGCCATTTAGATGCACTTTGCTAACT